ATAAACATTAAACCAATTAATAAATAGTATATTTTTTATTTAAAATATAAATATTTATATAATACATTAATATATGTAAATTATTAATGTTAATTTACTTAAGACACATAATAACATAATTTATATACTTTAGGTATATTTAAGAATATCTGAACAATTAAGAATAAGGTGGATTAGTATCCGCCAATTCATTCCAACTAAGAAAAACTAAAATAGTACTTCGTAACCAGAAACTGTATAGAGATTATGGATAAGGTTTAAGTACTATATAGTATATACAAACACCTCTTTATGCTTATGTGTTAAATTGAGAGTAAATAATTGTCTTAAATACTTTCGCATATTTCGTTTAGTTTTTTAAAAATTTCATATTATAATTTTGAAAAAAGCTGTTAGTTGTTTCTTATAATTTTTTTGTCCAAATCTTAATTTTAGGGTTTAAAAAGGTAAATCAAACATGCACTCCTGATTTTTCAATCTTAATACAACAATAATTCATTCTTGATCTAAAAGGTAATAGAAAAACTGATCAAACTTTGTAACTTTAAAAAGTCAATTTAGATTTTCTATTTATTTATTTCTACATTGAAAGTATATCATCAAGCGATTTTAAGAATGTGTTACCACCAATGTTGTTAAAATCGAGATCTTAAGTAAAATCGGAAAGGGCTTACAAAATCATAAAATGTAAAATCGTAATGTAAAAAAATCGTAAAAACGTAAAAGCGTTTGGAATATTAGTAAAATCGTTTTGATGAAAAAAAAAATCGTAAAAACGTAAAAATCGTAATGATAAATCGAGATTTTAACAACAATGGTTACCACATTTGCTTTGTATTCTATGAGAGAATATTAAGAAATAAAATTTTAAAAAAAATATTATTTATGCAAGAAAGCCTAGATATTAACCCAGATTCAAACACAAAAATAATTAATTAGGTAAGGAGTGTGATTGACCATACGCCAACCTCCTTCAATCACCTGAACATAAACTTGATGCTAGATAAAAGAAACGAAATAGCAATTTGATGTGATTAATCAAAGCAAACAATTATTTAGTAATATTAACACGAGAGAAGTTAATTTGCAATCTCGGCAATTGATGTCCCTCTTTGATATTAAATTAAATCAATTAAAATCGACAGGGTAATTAACTTTAATTATTGTGTTATATTTTGGCAAACCGATGCGTCTAATTTTTAAGGTACTAAATTAAAGTGAATAATGAAATGTTGGAGTTACTAATATCCTATTACTCAATTTTATGAATGATTATAATCTAAATCCATAAAATCGAAATATTATAATTACTATCAATATTAGAATGTGCATGCATCGAGTATTTCGAGTCACGCCAAGCTAAATAGCTTGAACAAGCCGGGTTTTTCTTTCTAGAAGTTGTCGCGAAGAAACTGTATAGATTTAAAAAGAAAATTTTGTCTGCGGGGAGTCATCGAGGTCAAAACACGTTGAGATACACACTACGTTAGATATGAGATTTGTTTAACCCAAGGCTGCCATTATCTGCCTCATTGCAGAATGGAAGCTTCATCTTCATCTTCTTCAATCTTAGCTTCTAGAAGTGACTATGAAAAATTATCCCTTTTCTCCGGTATTCAAAAAATATAAATAAAAATATATCCTTTTTCTCTTATACTTAATGTCTGTTTGGATGCTCTCTTTTTTAAGCTATAAGCTACTTATAAGCAGAAGCTAAGTCAAACAGGTTTTGGGAAAAGCTATTATAACGAAAATCTCTTTTTTTATAATAAAGAAAAAAGCTCTAAACTAAAAGCTCCTAGGAAAAGCTTTTTTTAAGCTCTTATCTATTTTTCTTGAATTGTGTGCTCTCTTTTTTTAAATAAAGAGTGATAAAGATAGAGAGAGATAATTTTCTTGAAATATGTGCTTTTAAGTAATTTTTAAGCTAAAACTTTTATGTAATTTCTAAACAGCTTTTAGCTTCTTTTTTTAAGCTCTTTATTTTAGCTTTAGCTTATAAGTAGCTTCTAGCTTAACAATAAGAGGATACATGCTATGCTTCCTCAATATTAAAAATTTCCTTTCTGTTTTTATTCATTTAATTTCCCTCAAAAGTGACTACTTGTTAATTAATAGATACTTTCCATACCTGAAATTATTTTTTCTTCTTCACCAATCTTCTAAGAACACAAATATATTTGTTTATAATTTTTTTAAAGAAAAAATCAGCATTTGAAATATTAATAAGATTCTAAAATTGTTCTAACACATTTTTTTTTCAGTTTTAAAATTATTTTAATAATTTAATTTACTTGGTATTTGTATCATATTGATGTTCGAATACTTCGTAAAAGGAATGTTGGGTTTTATGGTTTTGCATGTGCGCATTTTTTTTACATAATAATGATACTAAAATTTAAACCTGTAATCTCTAAATTACTTAAATTTTTCGTCATTAGACCAAATTATTACCTTTGTATGTGCGCGTGCTAATGTTATGGCCGAACTCTCTGGTTTCAAGAAACATTTCACTCTTGCTTGGAAGTGGGAACTTGACCTTAGAAGGATTTAGGATGTTATGTCAACATGACTCCATGGCATTCGTTTAGTTCAAGTTGCCGATCGATATCTAATTCATGTCCTACCTCAAACCAACCAATGTGCAGACCATTTAAGTAAATGTGATGCCTCTATTCATGAGCCGTGTTTGATTGTTGATTCACCTCCAATTAATGAGTTTCTTTCGGTTGCATAGCGTTTGGAGCAAGACTTTTTTTTTCTTCTTCAATTCATTCAATAGAAAAATAAATAAACCTAACATGGTTGAAGTGTATGAACTAACGAAATGGAAGCCAAATAAAGCATTCTAATTACTAGATAGTTCGATAAAATTAAAAGTCAATTGGTCAAATTGAGAGACACTGTACATGCGAAAAAAGTACAATTTCATTGGAAGAGAAAGTTTTTAGACTTTCTTGTTTGGAAACAGTTGTATACCATTAGGCGTGAGAAATTTTGAATTGATATGAAAAGATAAGGATCCAAAGCGACAGTCGACAAGTTCCGATGTCATCTTCCTTTCTAAGAAGTTGCTCGCAAGTCGCAAGTGACAACCCACACAATCCAACATTGGTAGAAAATATAGGAGGAGAGTAATATGAGGAATAATAAGGGAGTGTTTGGTATAGGAGAAATTTTTATTTGTTCAAAAATTTCGATTTTCAAAAATATGATTTTTACATTCAGTTTACGATAATATCTAAAATTTTAAAATTTTAAAAAATTCAGTTTCTCGGGAATTCGAAAAAAATCCGTGTACCAAATGGCCAGTAATAAAAAACTAAAGATTTTGACAATCACGCTGATGCTGCATTAAATCAAATAAAAATTAAAAACATCAGAGTAAGCCTCGTTCATATGTATGTAATATTTCTTTTAGTAAATGAAAAGTGTAGATTAGAGTTCCATGCAAGGTCACAACCACAACTTCATTGAAGATTTATGATGGGATTACATATTGTTTATCAACGAGAAAATCTAAAATTCAAATCCAAATCAAGCTAATATGGGCAACAAATTTAACCAAGTGCACCATTCCTCATTGATCGTAAGTGTTCTATTAGGTCTTAAGCAAAAATTTGCACCTTATTTTTTTTGTTTGTTTTTTTTTTGTTTTTAGGTGGTTCAACAATGTTTAAGTATTTTTTCTAAGAGATTAATATTTTTCATGTTATAGAAGATAAAATTATATCTTACACACATATAAAAATATATTGAATTCATATTTCTTTTTCTCTTTATTCTCTTCACATGGTTTTAGGAGATAAAATGATTTCAGAAACTTTAATCCTTTTTAATTCCACAAACATGTTAGATTTCTGTTTTTTTTTTTATTGGCCCAATGGTCTTTGCCATGCTTCCAACAAGAGGCATTTTGTTTTTGTTTCTTCAAAACAGGAAAATTTTGGGCCGACATTCATAACTACCTTGCCCATTCAGCATAAAGTCATGGGCCCTCCTACTCTAAATTGCCAAATGCCATTCCCTAACCCAAATAGTGACGGAACGGAACAAAAGAGTATTAACCCATAATTCTGGAAATATAATTTTGAGCCTTGTCATCTGCCCATTATCTCAGCCCATTTTGCTGAATATCCACCTGGCATGCTGTCCAATTGATCATGGTTGACCGAAACTAAATCTTATTGACTAACAATAATAGTTTAATTTTGATGGAGTGTTCCTGCAAAAAAAGTTTACACTATAATTATTTTGAGAGCTCATGCGTTATTAAACTTTTCAAATAATGTGTCACACATCATCATATCATAATTCTTTTTTCACATAATGTATACAAATTAAATTAAAAAACTTATTTATCATGTCAGCCCATTTTTTTATTGTTCTAAAAATAGGTTTTCAATTTATTTTTTCTGGAGTTCACTGGGATTTTTTATTTTGTTAAAACAAACTTTGTCGAAGTAGATATTTTACATAAAATTTAACCAGTAAAATGAACAAAATGGATATATAATTCTGTTATACTCAAATGTATATTACATTACAATTACACCTTGTGTAGTAAATATGATTTGTTGGTGAACTTGTTAACTAATCAATTGCTATGCGCAAAAGATAGGTGTTAGTTTTTTTATTCAAATTTTATTATGCATTTATGATAATTCAACCTTTTTATAATTTTTTATAATTTCAAGAGTAATAGAAATTGAAAAAAGGCCATGGGGGTTGAATAGCTTTGACTTTGACCCGAGTCAAAGTAAACTTGCAGTGTCCAGCCACAGTGCTTGAAGTTGAAAAAGAAGAGCATGGAGGGGTAAGTCTTGTCTGTCTCTCTGTGAAACCATTCACACACTAGACAACAATGTACCGCTAGATATCTGCCACGTCATATAGATCACGTGATGCTTCAGTGGACATGTATTAGTGGAACGTGGAAGGTTCCACAAGTTATTAATGTGCGGTTCACTGAGACGTGTTTTTCTTTTCATGAACCATAATTGAATTCCACTCTCTCTCTCTCTCTCTCTCTCTCTCTCTCTCTCTCCTAATAAGCGCAACTTCATTCGTCAATCGGCTTGGCACGATGTCGGGGAAAAGGAAGAGGAAGTTGAAATTGTAGGTTCCTTTCATCCTTAATCCATAATTGAAGTTTGCATCTCCATATCTCTTTTTAATTTGCACGTTTTTGGAATATGAAACACCTCTGTAGGGTTTCATTGCTGGATCAGTATGGATTTGTAGCGTGAGCGGTTTTTCTTTAGTTCCTTTTTTGCTATTGAGTTTGAATTTCAAAAAAAAAAATAAAAAAAAATAGAGGTTGCGTGGGTAGTTATTATTATAGCCTTAGTTTGTGATGGTGAATGTTTGCTAGGGTTTATAGATCGGATCAGTTTCAGATTTTGACACTTTTGTTGAAGAATGGGTTGCCGTAACTTGAATTGCTTAGAATTGAAACGTTGTAACTTGTAAATATGCTGTAATTGATTTTAATTATCTAAATCTGTTGTGCTTACTTGTAGGTTGTAATTAGTACTTACATGTTTTTTTATTTTCAATGGGATTTAATTTTCATATTTCGCCTACATTTATTTGCCGGTATTTGAAGTTTCATATTAATATGTTGTCTTTGTCTTGTTGGAGCATTTTGATTAGATCTATGAATAACCATTGCTAGGGTTGAGGTTTGCGGATACTCCTCTAGATCCATACTATCAGTATTTTTGGAGTTATTAATGATGGTGGTGTGATATAGTGTACTTGTCATGATATAAACCTGCAAATTTATGTACATTGAGAAATTTACATGTTTTGAGCAATTTGGTTGAATGTCTATGCCATTTTTCCTGTTCATTTTTTTTTCTGTTCTTCATTTGAGATTTTCCTCAGTTGCTAGAGGTTAAATGTGTATACATCTTTGTTGGAATGGAGGACTGGTCTAGTTACAAAATTCTAATTCTTTTATCCTTGTTGTTGCAATGTGAGTTCACTTGTTGAATTTGTTCCAGTTTTATCTTGCACATATATCTCTAATACTTATTATTTAGGTTAAGCAATACAATCATTGACAATAGAAGAGCAGATACTGAGTTGAAAAATGAAAATTTGGAGCTGCAAACCTGGGCTGATCTCCCTGCCGAACTCTTAGAATTGATATTGTCCTGTTTGATTCTAGCGGATAATATCCGTGCTTCTGTTGTTTGCAAGAGATGGCATTCTGTTGCCAGTGCTGTACGTGTAGTAAACCAATCACCGTGGCTTATGTATTTTCCAAAATTTGGGAACTGTTATGAATTCTATGACCCTTTGCAGCGTAAGACCTATTCCCTTGAGTTGCCAGAGTTGAATGAATCTAGAGTTTGTTATACAAAAGATGGTTGGTTATTGTTGTATCGGCCCAGAACTCACCGAGTGTTCTTCTTTAACCCCTTTACCTGGGAGCTAATCAAACTGCCAAGATTCGAGGTGACATACCAGATCGTTGCCTTCTCTTGTGCTCCAACATTACCTGGCTGTGTTCTGTTTACTGTTAAGCATGTTAGTCCTACTGTTGTAGCTATTAGCACATGTTATCCTGGGGCGACGGAATGGACCACTGTTAATTACCAAAATCGCTTGCCCTTTGTTAGTAGCATATGGAATAAGGTTGTGTTTTGCAACGGGCTCTTTTATTGTCTGAGTCTCACAGGTTGGCTTGGGGTGTTTGACCCAGTTGAACGTACGTGGAGTGTTCTGGCAGTACCTCCACCAAAATGCCCAGATAATTTTTTTGCCAAAAACTGGTGGAAGGGGAAATTTATGACAGAGCATGAAGGAGATATATTAGTAATTTATACATGTTTTAGTGAAAACCCCATTATTTTTAAGTTAGATCGGACATTAATGCAATGGAAAGAGATGAGAACACTAGATGGTGTAACTCTTTTTGCTAGTTTTTTGTCATCTCATTCAAGGACAGACCTCACTGGAATAATGAGAAACAGTGTCTACTTCTCCAAAGTTCGTTTCTATGGAAAGCGTTGCATATCATTCTCTCTTGATGACTATAGATACTATCCCCGTAAGCAGTGTCATGACTGGGGAGAACAAGACCCTTTTGAGAACATCTGGATTGAGCCACCAAAGGACTTCTCTGCCTGTATGTGAAGAATTTTAGTGAAACAAGTAAGTGTTATCAAAATCATTATTGTGTAGAGCTATTTTTTAATCACTAAACCTTTTAACTATGTATTATAACTGTTGGATAGAGGCTTTAGTAGCTAGCATAGTAAGACATTTATGGAGCCACTATTTTATGCTTTACTAATTAATTTATGTATATTTGAACATTTCATAAATGTTATTAATCTTTTTGTTTGATTATCAATGCTTGCGACATGCAAATTAATCCAGGGTCCATGCATTCTTATCATTGTTAAGTTATATGCAAATCTTAACTGGATTTTTCCAATGGTTACATGTGCTGAGTATTATTTTACATTTACCGGATCGTATACATACAATTGTTGTATGTACAATTTAATGTGAATTTCTATTCAGAATTATGTTGTCGTGTCTTGTATTTCTATTGTATGTAAATTCAAATGTTCTTACCATGTTTTTGATCATTGACTTTGTAAATGAGAAAGGGTCAAAGTTAGAGTTTCTTTTTGTATACATACATAATACATGAGTAATATAAATAGAGAGCACTAGTTTATTTTGAGAATGAAAGGAGTGACCAATGACCATTGAGTATTGACCAAGTCATGTGTGCATGTTAGAATTTATAATAATTTTTTATAGAAATTAATAATGATTTAGACAAATTTCCTTTATTTGCATTAGGCTTCAACTTTCTTGAAATTTTTTAAAAGTTGGGTAGTGAAAATTGTAAAGTTGTAAGCTTTGCATTGCCTTGTTACCTTCTCATCTAATTAGAGCCAACTTTATTTGAATTTGACTTACTTAGAAAACCTGTTAGTAAGTGCACCATTTTTATTTTGACTGGCCCTCCTTATTTTATTGAATACAGATCCCGTGTACAAAGATGAAAACATACAACTACGCTCCTGAAAATTTTAAAAACATACTTGGTAAACCTTGTCTGGGCAAGTCTGTGCTGAGCCGATCTGTGATGGGTAAATGGTTATTTAGCTGTTTGTCAAAAGTGTTGTCTGTGCCAACCTTACGATTGGTTCCCTTTTCTTTGGGTTGAACTGGTTGGTTGGCCAATCTGTTGATTGATCATATATCTTGTTTTCAAATAAGGGGTGGGGAAAAGAATCTTTGTTTTGTCAAATTGAAATGTCATGAGATTATAGTATACTTTACCTGATCATGTGGAGTATTTATTCCCCTCGATCTTTCACTTTATTGTTTGTTCCTTGTGCATGTCAATGGTTGAACAACATTGCCTAACATGATATCTATGTTTGAATGCAGCATTTTGATTCAGCCTCTTGAATCCTTTTCATACCAGTCCAAATGCAGAATATGTTAATTTTCTACGCCAGAGTTTCAGAGTGCCCCGTTATTGCTCTTTAGCTGTAGCCTGTAGGAATCCATTAGTTAAACTTATTTGGAAGCATGCTTTCTGTATATAGGAGGCCAATATATGCATAGAACGGAAGTTAGATGTGAAGGAATGGACATCTACAAGGGTAAAAAAAGGCTTGCCCCCATGGTTATTTTGTCTCTGCAGATCCTGAAATTTCAACATTTTTTTGTCCGACACAGCAGTGCTTATGTAGAACATTAGAGTTTATATTTATCTAGAGATTTTATTTTGGGCATGATCCATAGATTTATATTCACAATTGTCATTAGTCGTTCCGTTTAATTTGTCTACTAATTCAATTTTAGCCACATTTCGTTTGCTGTAGCATGTCTGAGTGAACTCTTGATGGAAGTTGCGTGGGCTACGCGTTTCCGTTGTGCTTGTGACATTTTATTTTGGAATGTCGTAACTTTGGCCGATGAAGTGAGCTCACCATAAAGAAACAATATTTTTTTTTTATCCGTGTTACTTACTACATTGCTTTCAAGCTACCTTGGAGATTAGTATCAATTAACAGTTGACTCATGCCAAATTATTGTTTAAACCATCCTATAGTTTAATTTGAAGCAGTGGCATCCATATATATGTAGAACTCGATTGTTACACTCACCATCCAATAATTTTCTATTGCAAATAATTTCTTTATTAAACTGTTTTGGTTGTATTGTCCGGCAGATGGGAAATTGCACCCAACACGTTAAATGTTGTGGAACAATATAAACTGTCTCCTCATGGTGAAAAGGAAAAGATTGGAAAGAAATGTTTACTTTGGTATAATCCCTAAAAAATAATTTCAGTGTCAAATTAAAATTTATAAGATTAATTACAGAAAGACACTTTCTTTAAAATCATTGGATCAAAAGTTACAAAATATCATAATATTATATGAAAACTATTAATTTAATTTTAATTCAATGATAATAAAAATGATGTCAAGGAAAATTAATTATAAATATTGCCTACCACATAAAAAAATTAGACTTACTTTATAACCCTTGCTATAGGACTATTTTATTCAAAGTCCATATAGTATCCCAACTTTTTTTAATCTTATTTTGAGTACCAAAATAAGCCCATGATTGAATGTGGATATATTCTGGTGATAAAATGGTGCATAAACAAATGTGACTTTGTACGGATAAAGTATTCTGTACAATCCACTATAGGACCATTTTATTCAAAGTCCATATAGTATCCCAACTTTTTTTAATCTTATTTTGAGTACCAAAATAAACCCATGATTGAATGTGGATATATTCTGGTGATAAAATGGTGCATAAACAAATGTGACTTTGTACGGATAAAGTATTCTGTACAATCCACTATAGGACCATATTCATTCTAACATCGATCTCCTAGAAAGACAATTGGAAGCATAATAAAATATATCAACCACTATCCGAATATACGAAAAACTTGATGAAATTTTATCAACCTTGTAAGATTTATCTCATGTCCTTCCTGTCAATACGGTGTCTCTTTAAGAATTTGAGAATGAAAAATTGAATGACAAGATTTATATAATAAAATATATAAAAAGCTCACATAACTAAACTGAATCTTAGCCTTTAATTTAAGATGTACTAATCTTGCAAGAATTATAACTTCGTTCAAAGCAGCCCCGATTTGCATTAACCGGTTGACCTCCGCGCCTTGAGTCGGTGACACTTTTAAGCCTTTGGTGCAATTGCTGACAAACATAAATTGCACATCAGATAATATAGTTTCATAAATTCTTTCCCATCATGGAGTGATAAAGGAAGAAAATGAAACGCATGAATGCCAAATAATATACATGTATTAACTGTAATTCATTTTCCCTGGATTTGTTTTCCATATTTTTTTATCCATACGGTCACAAAGCTTAATTTTCTGCATTGGAGAAGTAACCAGCAGGAACAAACCTCGATTTCCTAGCTCCTTGAAGTCCATAAGAAGCCAATTACATTAGTAGGGATGATATCGGCCACGACCGCGATTATGGTTATTATCACTACTGCGTTTCCCACCACTTGAGCTACCACCACCACTCCTGCCATGTCGGGATACCGGTTGAGGAGTAGTTGGTTGTTGCAATCCTGGCTGTTGCCTGCAGCACCACCCAAAGAAACTCAACTATAGATGGAGCCAACTGTTATACTAATGCGGAACAAGCTAATACATCCTACCGTGCATGAGTAAAAGAGATAGATTTTTACCAAAAAAAAAAAAAAAAGATAGATTGAACATCCAAAACTAAAAAAAAAACAAAAAAACATGATACTTACAATACATAACCAATCCTTCCATCCGGTAAAAGCATTGGCATCATTGCCATGCCAGCAGGGGATGCTCCCGCACCATACATCAGTGGCTGCATATTCAAGGACCAATACATCAGTAAGACACATATTGCACCATACAAGAAATACACCAAGTATTTGCTGTATTACTTAAAAGAGCCAAAGAAAGGAGTGTACTTCATTTCTTTTAAGTGCAACTCTTGACTAAAAGCTTGTGAGCACAGAGCAGATGTTGTGTTAAACTAGGTACAACAGTTACAAATTTCCATGCATCAATTGTTCAAATATCATATCATACGAATCATCAGACTACTGTGATTCACTATAATACCAATACATAAGATGATAAATTAAAATAGATATCAATACATGAGCCAACTAGTCAAGAGACGCTGAATCCACAATTGAAGTTCATGTTATCCTGTTTCTCCCTGGGTTGAGGGCAACATAAGCCCATCAACAACTAAATTAAAGAAACAACTAACTAAAAGCTGGGAACCATTTCCGCCAGCGAAACTATGCGGGGATTGTTCAACACATAGACCATTCAACTAGATAAAAAATTTCATGCTTTGCAATTAGTGAAGTGCAACTCACTCCCATGCCTCTTCTCAAGGTGAGATAGCATAGTGACCACAGCTTGTTCATGGATACGTATTCCTAATCCAGCCCCCAACCCCCAATTCTTTTAGTATACTACAAGAAAAAAAACCAAGACACTAGCAGGACAAAGGGCAAGTTACTTGTGCGAAGCCAGCAGCTCCATATCCAGCACCAATAGCACCATAGGAACCTCCAACCATACCATAACTAAGACGAGGTGGATAAGTGGGAAGCACAACTGACTTCTGTGGATTTGATGCCCCAGATGACTTCTGATCTGCTTGTGGCTTTGCAAGTGAACACTCCAAAGCTTGGCCTGTCCATTCCAGAAAAAATAATGCTTACCATACGTAATAGTTCACTGCCATTAAAGAAAATGGAGATTGGCAAAAAGGTATTCAATAGGGAAAGAAAAAATACCATCAATTTCATACTTCTCCGTATTCTTCAATGCCTTCATGGCACTTGACCTTTCAGCAAAGTGTACAAAACCAAATCTGCTCTTTTCTTGTCCAGCTTTAGCAGGGGGGAGAACCACTTTTGTGATCTTTCCATGGTGTTCAAACAGCTCCTTAAGACGATCCTGAGTAATGTTTTCTGGAAGGTTCTTTACATACACTGCTTTTACCTGTATCAAGCACCAAGTCTCAGCTATACAACTTTCCACAGTAATAATAATTCAATTCAAGTCGGTATACTAAAATTCCAACCAGCATTTCATTTGGAAGACCACAGGAAAGTTAATTCTATAATCTAACTTATAACAGTTGCAAAAAGACAATATAAAGTACAATAAAATAACCAATGATCCCCCTCTTCAAAACTTGCAAAAAGCAAACAACACTGGCAATAAAAAGAGGATACATGTATCATAGACACAAATTTCCCGAGCCAGTATATTGCTTTCTGCATCTCTGCTTTATGTTCGGGGCTAATAGTATATTTGCTTTCTGTTCTAGGCTATGCTGTGTTCTTCTCTATTAATGAAACATTCTGCTGAGATGTTTTGAGAAGATAGATATAATTTTTTCTCCAGGAAAAGTCCAAAAACATAAGCTCTGTATGAGCACTTTCGTCCTGTAACTTTCAAAATGTGCAAGAAAGTCTTCAAGCTTCCAATCATGAGCACATCAACGCAAAACCATAAGCTCTGTCAATTTTTGGACACAAATCATCACGTGCTGGTTCCATGACATTAAAAATCATTCAAAATGTCAGCTCTTATGGGCATGCAAAGGCAATTTCATCAGTGTACCATTACAAAACACGTGTTAGAGTCTCCCTGGACATGCACCTTCTACCTTCCAAGCCCACCGTCAAGGAGGACTCTCAAGTTGAAATCCCTCATGGCCTCCATCAAGCATTCCCAAGCCAGCCAGTGCCTCCACCTTGACACCTTCCATTTGATGCAAATTCAGCAGCAGCACCTACAGGTGCAAGGAAATTAATGTTGTTTTTTGAGGTGGTTCTAAAGCACTTCATCTTGTCCATTTTAGATGATCCGATTGTGAGCCGGGTCTTCTGTGAAGCTGATTTTTGGAGTTGGGGCATCAAGCTCGCTTTGCTTTAAAACCCTTTATCAGCTCAGCTGCCTTCTCAGTTTTCCTCCTATCAGACCTGATGCACGCCAGTTTTCCTCTACAACTTGGAATCAAGTCAACCCATTTACAGCTTCCTACTGGTGCGGGGAGCAGATGAGAACTACAGGAGGATCATAGAGATTCTCCTAAAGAAGAGCAAGAGGAACCCCTTGCTGATTGGTGTATATTATTTTTTTAGTATGTTTATTTGTATACTGATGTTATTCTGAATGGTATAGGATATATCATATTTTGTTCATAAAATATGAGCCATTTTTCAAAAAGCTGTATTATGCTATGCGCTATAAACTACAGCCATACAAAATTATCAACAATTTATCTAGATTTATATATCAGCACAAAAATAAGCCACACATAGCAACCTACAGGTAATTTCTTCGTTAAATTTTTAAGGGAAGTAATTCATAATTTACAATTATAAAGCCTATAACAGATTACCTGGGAGGATGCAGATGATTCAGAATTCCTTGGGTCAGCCCAGCTCACAGTTGGGGCATTATTGTCTAGTTTAAATTTTGAGTTTGACATTTTCTCCCTTGAATATTCTGCACAAGCATGATTGTAATACTCAATAAAAGCAAATCCCCGATTTCGGCCAGAACTCTGTGGGTCCTGTAACAATGAAACTCATCATACGGCGCAATTCATAGTTTTGGTAAAAGGAAGAAACTTGAAAAAGGAGTTAATAACACATAAAATCAAAGCATACAACATACAATAAATAATATGTCAACAAAGTACAAACCTTCACCAGTTCCACAGAAATGACTCCGGGGCCAATGTCTTCAATAACCTTTTTCATATCTTCTACAATCCAATCTCTAGGAACATTACCAATGAACAACCTATGCTTAGCTTGAGATGTTGAGCACTTAACTTTTTTTCCCTGGAAACGCAAGAGGAAATGGCTTAATTCATATAATACTATAATAGTACTACAGGCTAGCGTGTCCAGTCAAAGAGATAGGATAAAATCAACAACAACAACATCATCACCACCTTTATCCCAAACCAATACAATAAAATATTTAAAAATAAAAACACAAACAAATCAAAAAGAGAGACAGGAGACCATGACTTCATAATTAGTGAACAAGATAACCAGCAGAAATTCCAGAAACAAGTGTACCAAAATACCTTAAATTCAGAGTTGTTCAGCTCCTCAATAGCCTTAGATGCCAACTCCTTTGTCTTGAAGGTCACAAAAGCATAACCTTTTGCTTCACCTGATTCTTTTCCCTTCATGATCCTAACCTGTACAAAATTTAAGAAGTTTATATTTTTTGGTACATAAAATTTAATAAGTTTAGATAGTCATGCAAAGGGGAAAAGGGATAGAAGAATTTCATGTAACTTACCTCCGACACTTCTCCCACAGATTGACAAAAGACCCTCAGATCTTCTTCAGAAACTTTCTGAGGAATGCCTCCAATGTAGACCTCTGACCCATGAGGTGGAAGCGCAAGAAGCTCAGCATGTTCCTTTTTCTCAACTTCATCCTTAGTATCTGGCACACTCATCTCGTCTTCACCATCTGAGAGCCTAGTCTCTTCTTCTTCCTCTTCCTCTTCCTCCTCCTCCTCCTCCACCACCACTTCCTCCTCCTCTTCCTCCTCTTCCTCTTCCACTTCTTCCTCCTCCTCTACTTCTTCATACTCAATTTCTTCCTCCATTGTCTCTTCTTGATCATTGTCCCCATCAAGGTCTACCTGCTCATCAGAATCTGTAGGTTTTTCTGGCTCGCTGTTCCCCTCTGGTGAATCTGGATTTTGGGCTGATACATCTCTCCGTCTTGTCCCAGGCATTTTATGCATCTAGAAAATCAAGCTTGCAGGGCAACTGTGAAGGAAGCAGAGAAGCCAGAAGCATTCATAGAAGAGAGATTGCAAATACGGAAAGGTGGAAACAATATGAGAGGCCAGATGGAATAGCAGAGTAAGAATTTTGATTGAGACTGTGCCATGAGGTAAGGAACAAGGAGTAGCAATGTGATTGGTTCTAAATCCAGGAATCATCATAACATAGCAACAACAGTAAAAGAGACAGGCAAAAGAGAATTCTGAACGAAAATCAAGAGGATTACGATGCTCAACAGGCCAATCAAAGACAAAAAAAAAAAAAAAAATATACGAAGAAATGAATTTCAGAATTCCTCGAAATTTAGATGCAGAGAGTTGCCCAGAAAAATAGTGGCTAGTTTAATTGTTTAACTATTTGTTGGGGAACGATGCACACAGAGAAAGAGGGGGGGAAGAAACAAGAGTAAGAAATAAGAAACTGAACTAAATGGTTACATTACAAAAAAAATATGCATAAAAGGAACATTTTACATATTTTAGAGAGACCAATAAAAAGCAATATATCATACTATGAAGTCCTCCCTGCATAACATTACAAAATCAGACAAAAATAAATAAATAAATAAATTGGATTGGGTTTAATTTGAGACCAAGATATGCCATATTATCTCTGTTGTCTTGAGATAGGAAAAACAATCTTACTGTACCCCAGATAAATCTACAGCCTTTACTATGAAATTTCATATAATGTTCTGTGCAAGAACCACACGTCCACCAAGAGTTTCGCATTCAACAATTTTTTATGCACAATAGCCTAACTAATCTCGTTGAGTATCAATAAAATAAATGAACATGATTCTTCTATTTTCATTGTAAGATTACAGCATAAAAAAAAAAAAAAAAGGTTAAGGTCGGAGTACTACGTTTGTGCATTATTTATAGCAACAGAAATAAAGGTGAAAGTAGTACCTGAATGCGAGCGAAATCAAAAACGGAATAGAAAATGAAGCTCTGAAAATCCAAACCCTAAAACTCCTAATCCCGTCAGTGAGTGCAGGACGCGCGTGCCTTTATATGCTCAATAGCTCATGGTGGCCAAATTCACTATTACCCGCGGTGTCCAGCAGGATTTTGTCTTGGGCCTTTGCACTTTGGCCTTTTAACATCATCAATCATTATTATTATTATTTTTTTAGTTTCGGTTAATGTTTCTGAGTAGTCTAGTTTGAGTATTATCGGACCCTGCAGCTCTCATGTCACTGCAGGAGAAAAAGTGTACTAACACTTATTTTTTTCAGGATACACGTGTAGATCCTGATGTTTTTTTTGCTGCAACTTTTCTCATCAGCAGTGAAAGGAGAACCGACGAACTCATAAAAAAATGGCTCTTTCAAAATATTTTTTCATTCGCATAAACAATAACTGCTACTTATTAATAATTGTTATTTATTAAATAGATATTTTCTTATAAAATATAAATATTTATTTTTTACTAAAACAAGATATTTTCCTTTTCTTTTTTGGATAACAAGAAGAAATTTTTCTAATTCCACTATTAAAAAATTGATTATTTATTTTATATAAAAAATTACAAATATGAATGAATAAAGGAAGGTTATACTTACAATTTTTTTTTTTTTTGCAATCTCTTACAACCATATCTTAAAACCGTCGATTTTCGTCAATCAACTATTATCATTTATTGAGAATTAATAATTAATTAATGAGTTTAATTTGCGAAAATCATAACCGTTGATCGACGAAAATCAATAATATTAAGATATGATTGTAAGAGGTTGTAAAAAAAAAATTGTAAGTATAACCTTCCTTCAATGAATAAGTTAAATGTGTAGCTTTATGGAGTTAACTTCTTTTTTAATTTATCGCTTTTCCTCTATCAAATTTAAACTAAATCCTTTTTTTGCTTGATAGCCATTGATTTCTCAAAATGAAAAACTAATGTGCAAGTATATTCATAATTTTATTATGATAAAATACTTCAGGGTTTTAAATTCACATCTTTTTTACACCTTTTAGCTTACCTTTGAATACTGTTCAGTCATTCACATACACGAAAACTGACCAAGGATAACCTTACTGTACAATAAAAAAGATAAATAAGTGATTATTTTTGGGAAAGGATTTGTTGTAGGGAATCCTCATAGGATCTAGGGGAGAAGAGAAATGAAAATGTGTGACTTGTGTACTCACGCCACATAACTACAACCTACAATCTCCTGATGATTACTAGGGGAGATATGTTGAGTTATGCTCAGCATAGGCTGTGAAGCTAATGTTAGACCAAGATACAATCTATGATGCACGAAAACGAGTACTAATATGATTACAACTTGAAGACACGACATTTCTTTAAAAAATAAGCATACAAGTACAGCAAAATCCTTATCATAATTCACTCACACTAGCACAAAAATTTTAAAAATAAAAAAACTACAAAACCATGAAAACAATATTCAATGATATATAAAGCGTATCCAATAGACACAATACGTATCCACGTAAATGCCGTAGACATTTTGAAATATCCATGCTTTTTAGGATACAAATATATATTTACTTCTTGATCAAATAATAGTAGAGTAAAATAGTTTATTATTAAAATTTAACTGAAAATAACTATATGTGCACTATTGTTAGTCTAATAGTTATCTAACTACATTTTTTTTTTTTTTACTGGTAACTAATATTGTGTTAACTCTGAAGATAAAATAGAAATAAAAACATCACATGACATTACTTTTTGAAAAATATTTTTCTTATGTTGTAAGAAAAAAGTTACCTCATGTTGTAGAAATAAAATTATAAATGGGACCCACATGTAAGAGGAAAAAGAAAAAAAAGTGATGAGACCCAATCCTTTGTGTAGAAAAGTTGTTTATCTCATGTAAAATGAGATAAACATAACCCTTATTTTTTTAGTTGAAAAATCACAATAACCTTTGGCACATGCACAGAACGAAACGAAACGATTTTTTTCTTGTTTCCACCCTTTTTTTAGTGGAATCAAAATATATCACTTTTTTAGTCCCATGTACTGTTCTAATTTATTTTTAAGATATACCAAACAAATAATACAACCCCTATGTTAAGTTCCGTCTGGTTATAACACATTTCCTAAACCCTGATTAACACAATTAACACATCTCCTATGTGAATTACCCGATACACATGTTTCATAATCCTCAGTGACCAGAGATGCATGAGCATGAGTACAAGCTGCATGCATAACATTGAAATGCCTGAATTTTATATGCAACGCTAATCCCTGCAGCACACGGATAGGCTGGATAGCCTTGAGATCTTAATACAGGTCCCATAGATTCGCAACAAAGGATGTCAAAAACTAAACCAACAAATCTATTTCTCAATATATCTTCTGAAAGAGTTTAATCCTGAAGCTAATCTCAGACTAAAGACTGACAAGTGTTTGAAAAACCAGAACATGATCTATATTTCGCAAAAAGGGATCTCTAGATTTCAATTATAGTAAAAATTATTTACCAAGGGAACCCAAAAGAAATTATCAAACATGTTGCTAACATAACGGTAATGTCTCCTTCAGTGTTCCATATGATAAAAGGGCCTTCGTATCATCAGATAAGCTTGTTATAACTCACAGGAATAAATGTTTAAATTCTCCATTTGCAAGCTTACAAAGCTTATCATAGCTGACCATATCTGCCAACAGGGACAAAAAAAAAAATCAGAACCCACAGCTTCATATACTTAAGAAATTCATTGAAAAATATCATAGGAATAAAATCTATTATATATGGTTAATAGTCATATCTCAAAACCAATTTGAGGAATGGAAGATAAAAAAAATACCAATTGCATCACCAAAATTGGTCCATATTTCAGCACGAATGGACTTATCGTTGTCAACAATACCAATAACTTCGACAAATTTTGTGAGAGGAGCAGGTGGGTGTGATCCTTTTACAACTAGCTGCTTCTCATCCGTAGATTTTCCAATGACAGCTCCACTGTCAGATCGCACAACCTGCATGACTGCCCGAACCCTCCTTCCAACGTAATAGTGTAAAAGTTCTGCATTGACAAAGATTGCAGGATTTGATGTATCCATATTCTGCAAAAGATACAACAAGATGGTTTGATTTAAAGACAGAAAAAAAAAAGTGTTGATGGTAAGAAAATGCTGTCTTTATTTTATTTGACAGTTAAATGAAACAACAGCTGCCTTTCATTCACACAAATCCTGTCTCATAATTTATTCTTGTTCAGATTTCAAATATTTCTTAACTGAGTAAAACTATATTGAGAACATACAATACCTTGGAAAATGTTAACACTATATACAGTTGTTGTTCACTAAATAGCAAGCCATGCTGCAAAAGGTGCATATCCTGATACCTCTAACTTCAGGTTGTATATATTAACAGGCACCTTTACTAGATGAATCACTGTTCCAAGTGACCATACCATAAACTTAAGATGGCTTGGACTTTCTTAGACTAGCAGATGCCCAGTACTAAAATTGGGACTAAGTGAGCAATGGTAATTACACAAATTAATTTCGCACAAAAACTGAACCCGAGTCTCCATATGGCACAAGGTTTTGCAGGTACAAGATAAACCACACAAGGAAAGCACTTGTTAGAGAGAACCTTAAGGTTAGTAACCAGTTACGATGATGATGGCGGGATTAGTCTAACAGCAATGTCAATGGAAATACCCCGATCAAAGATAGCAAAAAAATCACAAATACTAAAGAGATTCACAAACAATAATTGAGTTGGTTTTATCTAAGAAAAATAAAGATACTGTATGAAATTAATTCCATCATATTTCATTTCATTCTAATTTAAACAATGATAACTAATGTCATTCTATTCTATTTCATCTGATTCCATCCTTTTTCATCAATCCAAACATTGAGCGAGGGTTTTCCATTTGACCATTAATTTGACTCCATCAAAATCAACTAGTAACATAAACTCCACATTTACTACAAAAAAGGATATGTTAAATAAAACAAAGAACAAACCCTCGCCCAACTTAATCTTATTGAGAATGCAACAATCGTTCAATTAATCACGAGCACGACACTAAAGTCCTGTTTACCAAAACGACATTACGATTTACGATACGCACAACACAAAAAGCCACAGAGCGAAGAGTAGTTGGTGTTTGTGTTCGGTTAGATTTGGTTCGTGAAGAAATTTCAGATATGGAAGAGAGTTTATAGAAACATCAAATATCGTTTGTTCATGCGTTGAAGATGAATTGGATGGGTTGTTACCTGATTGAATTCAGAAGCCAATTGCTGAGAAACAAAGCGGCACTTCAGAAGCACACACGAGACACGAGAGAGGGAGCGCGGGTTCTCCTTTTATTGCGTGCTTGGAATGGATTCAAGATTTTATACTTATTAAAAAGTTTTTTATATTTAAGAAGGGATAAATTATTCTAGTTATCTATTTTTTTTTTTTTTGCCTACATTTACCTATCACTCTCCCTCCAATACCGTTAATCTAAAGAGGAGAGAGAAAGATAAACGTTGATTAAGATTCTAATCTAATGGTCTTTTAGAGTGGTAGGCAAAGTAGGAATTAAAAAAAAAAATTATCTCGATTTTTTCTTAGGGATAGGTTATTCTGCGTATTCTTACTTTGCTTACCTTTGCCTACCCCTCTCAACACTGTTAGATTATAATTTCATCCAACGGTGAATATTTGCAAGATAAAATAATTTTTTTTACCAAATGTGGATATTTATGCCTATTTTTGTCTAACACCGTTAAAATTATGAGGAGAGAAAAGAATGATAAAGGTTAGTTGAGAAAATAAGCATAAAAAAATAGGTATAATTTCCTATCCTTTAAAAAAAACTATAATTATAATTTCGTGTATGTCAAAATCAAATTAAATGGCTCTTATTTAATGTTATTTTATAATTATTGATTTAATTTGATCCAATGATAACAATAAAAAAATATCCATGAAATTTCTGAAAAAAAAAATTCTGGGTAATATATAATCATTTTGACTACACCACTTTTTGTATAAGAAATAAAAAAAATAAAACATATTTCAATACGCGTCTCTTTTTATTTTATTTTATTTTTACCAAACAAGAAATGTGTAGAAGTAATGTAACAATCATGGTGTGCAAGTAACAAGTTTTACATATGCATGGATAATGCACAGGTTGATGAAAATATAACTTGTATCCCAAACTAAGAAAGCTGAATTTGAAAACTGTTACAACGGCTGCACAGAGAATTTACTGACTGAATGAATCTAAAATGCTTGAACGCTTAACTGACCGATATTGGTAACCATATTGCTCATTGAAGATGTATCTAAATACACGTAACTTGCACTCAGATATGAATCATCAGGTACAATTGCAAGAAGCATACATGATGACCAATTCAACATGAATTATGTTGGGGCTGAGGATTTATTTCTGAACCCAAAAATTATGTGAACTAATTTATATAAAATAGACCTGACAATTAAAAAACCAACCTAAACAATCTCTATAATCTTCCACATCTCGTAAGGAATGAGAGGTCATTTCTCTCTTAACTTCTTGGTTATGGCAAAGACAGCACCTGCCACGGCAACAATTATGCCTGAAACTATAATTGCTGATTTTAATGTTTGCAAGGCCTCCTTCTTTTCCCTTTCCTTTTTTCTTTGTTCTGCCTCAGCTTGTTCCTTCAAACAAATAAGCAAATATATACATATAACAATCAGTATTCAAATTGAATGTTCTTTATTTTCTTGTAAATGAAAAATAAAGATAAGAAAGGTACCATCATTTCCTTGGTGGCAGCCACCTCAGATGATATAGGATCAACTTGAACATTAGTATTATTCCCAGGATTCAGTTCCCCAGCAATGTCTGCTGGTGGAAACGTTAGGTCTGAGTTCTCTATTGGGGTTCCCATTTTTATTTTTATTTTGCTAGCCTTCACGTAAGAATACTCTATAACCTCTTTATTCAATTCAATAGTAGGAGAGAAGACAGAGGAGAAAAAAAGAACACATTCATGATCAAGGTTTCATGGCTAATTCAATGCCAAGATGTTGCTCAAACTTCATTGACACGTGCTAGTATTCCAAATATTGAGGTTGTTAGAATTTTTTGGGTCCTTCCTGTTCTCAAACTTACCGAGATAATTGTTCAGACTTGGCTAAACTTTCGGTAATGAGGGGGAAAAAATAAAAGAATTTAGGGATCCGTACATCCGTACAAGGTTTATTCAATAAAAGAACAAATCTGGCAGTGACTCAATTCTGTCTGCTAATTATTGCCCTTAATTTATTTAAAGAAAATACTAGTCTTATGATATAGGAAATTAGTATCTCATATCATTTAAAGAAAATATAAAATATGTAGAACCTACTCATTTATTTATTTATTTAAGTGAGTAGACCCCACATGGGGATAGAGAATTTGAAGGAGGGGTTCAGGGTTGACGAAAAATCAGAAATTACCACAAGCAAAAATTACTATTTATTATTTGTTATTAAACAAAATGATGTAAAAACGTAAGATACACACTATACACAGCACTGAAGTTTATGTATAAAACAGATATTGCAAGTACAGTTTTTCAGCAATATTCTGTTCAAGAGACTGGCCTATGAGCCAAATTGTAACCCATTTCTGCCTGGAATCTTTACTATTTTAGATTCTTAAATCATGTTTTTCACATTTACTTACACCCCCACCCCCCCCCCCCCCCCCCCCCCCCCCCCCCCCCCCCCCCCCCCCCCCCCCCCCCCCCCCCCCCCCCCCCCCCCCCCCCCCCCCCCCCCCCCAACCCAAAAACACATTCGTTATATGCATTCTCAAAACTGCATATAAGGGGACATAGTCAGTCTTGCAAGTTAGAAAAACACACGAAAAATATTGGACGGTCTCTGAATAACATTCCACTTCCTCGCCAAGATACAAAGTTGAGATTGTACAAGGACACTCATGTTTCTTAGATTTGCATATCCTGCATAGTATAACTCATTTCTGTCTAAATTACATCAAACTCCAAATTATATTGGACAAGGATCATTGCTCTATGAATTGATCTACTGATGGAAAATAATTATTTTAGCTGAAGAAAGCTAAATCAAACAAGTTGATCATTAGTGACTCGTTCATCCAAACTTTACATTATATTGTTGAGTGTCACCTTTAGATATTTTCAATTTTTGCTCCCAAAACCACGAGGAGCTGGCCTTGCTGGTGCTGAGTCCGCAAATAGTCTCTTTGCTTCAGATCTCCTCCTCCTCCTTGCAGTACCAGGTGGAGCCTGATATGAGCAGAACGCAGAAACCAGAAAGCATCAAATGTTCTGATAAGTAACATGCATATACAAATACAAGAACAAGATTCGCAATACTGTTTCTGTATTTTGTTTCTCTCTTTTTTCTTTAGACAGTTCCGAAATGCAAATGACCTCATAACTTCAATAGGATATTTTCTGGTAAAAAGATGTGGAAGGTCCCAAAAGACTAGGATTGAACCTCCAACCGAGTGAAAAAAATGCACGGAAATGATATCAAGAGATTAGGATCAAAAACTACTTCAAAATGATCTCATAGATGGATTAAATGTATGACAGCCACACATTTTAAGCATAACAGATCAGACATGTTACGACTACATTCAATTAGTGAATGGCCTGCCCAAAGGATACCTTGCATAAATTTGCTCAGTTAATCCAAAAAAAAAATAACATGAAAATTGCTAAATCTCATATATTTAGAAAATGATATCACCTTTTCCTCTGTTTTAAGCGCTTCCTCAAGATTACTAAGAGTTGGAAGTGATCCACCTTCCATTACACCCATCAGGTTCTTCATTCGAACACGCATTTGGAATAGTTGAGCTACAACTTGGCTTACCTGACATTATTGTAGTACATTCCTCAAAGTTAGGAATTATAGCAGTGGTAAAGAAACCAAAGCTTGGAAGGTAACAAAATAAGCAAAGTTTGAAATAAAATCCATTCTACATGCCTGCTGTTCTGTTTTCCCTGAATCTTGAGCAACTCTTTTCCTCCTGAAAGGGGATTCTGCCAATAGTTCAGGATTTTCCCTCTCCTCTGGAAATAAACAAGAAAGGTTGCTTTAGCAAAATAGTTAATCCAGATTCAACAAATTGTAAGGCAAAACCTCACAATAACAAAAGGCATAAAATTCACATCTTTATCATGTGAGGATATCAAGTATATCTTTCAAATTTGTCAATAATTTTTTTATCTAATGGTCATTTTTTCATAGCACAGGAAGAAGATACCCTAAATATATTATAAAAAAGAAGCAGAAGAAGATACCAAATAACACAACCATTGTAGCCTATAAATGTGAAAAGCACCCGTCTCATTTAAGCTGAAATCTAAATGGAAAACAACAATTGACTAGGAGAAAGCCCTGGGGAGAATAGATGAGTATTGATTGCAAAACTGGGAAAACTAAAGGATAAAGACTGCTCTCAGGCAACAACTTCATGTCTTAGTGAAAACAGGCAATTAAGCAATTGAGTGAAAAAAAAAATTCACAAAAACATCTTCAACAGCTGAGTTTCAAAAGGACAGAAAATTATTAATAATAAAAAATTGAACTGGTAGTAAAAGAGAAAGTGTTGGATTCAAGGACAGAAATCATCAAGGTACTGTAAGTCATTAACATATTCTGCGAGTTACCTCATTCATTGCGAAGGCAAGTTTTTTATTTATTCTAGATAGTCCCATGTTAAGAAACAAAATTAAATTGATAAAGATGATAGAGCAATTTTCATTTAACAGGTATGACAAAATTGATCAGTAGAAATAAAGGACCAGGGGTCATTGCTTCTATCATTGCTTCCATTATCTTCAAATTCTTCTCTGCTTCTCGAATTTGAGCAGGAGTAACCTGTGTTCATGCAAATAAGATTAAATAAGTTTTACAATAACTACAGAATCAAATTCACTTCTGAATATCAAGATAAGTTTGCAATGCTAGCAATGCTCATTTTTAAGGTTCGTAAACCAAAACTGGGAGATTGGCCTCCTTTGTTCCCAATTGCCATGGGAGACCATATGTATAAAAGTGTCGTTTAAAAAAAAAAAAAAAAAAAAAAAACTCCATTTGAAACCCCCCAAGTGTAGGGGTCAGAAAATCCATATATGTAGCATTACCATTGCATTTTTGTAAAGAGGTTATTATTGCATTTTTGCAGGATCTCATACCTTCGCCATACCAGGAATCATTCCAATGACACGAGACACAGAACCCATTTGTGCAACAGCACGAGTTTGCTTTAGAAAATCGTTGAAGTCAAACTTTGCACTCATGATCTTCTTTTGCAGTTCTTCAGCATCTTCTTGACGCATCTAAAATAAATGCGGTTAATAACAGATTATTTTATTTTTGTTTTGTGTCAATAACAATATAGAAATATAACAAGACTTACAACTTCTTGTGCCTTCTCCACAAATGAAAGAACATCTCCCATTCCTAGTATGCGTCCTGCCATTCGATCAGGGTAGAAAGGTTCAAGATCCTCCATGCGTTCCCCTCGTCCTACCAGTTTGATTGGCTTTCCAGATACCTGCCATCATTGAACTATCCAATTAAGCAACATATCAGAGAGGGAAAAGGAGAGATCTTCAAAATGCTGGACTATGTTAATCACTTTACAGTTCCAAATACGCTTCAGAAACATCAGTGAAAATTGTCACTTCAAAAAATCAACTAAATGCAATAAGACCTCCCATAACTTAGGCCATACCAAAATCTATATATTCACAGATTAAATGCAGTATCAGTATATTTTGACTTTTAAATCTTTGAGCCATACAAATTAGGTCTAGATATATGCCATTCCAAAACATAATTCCAAATACAATGTGTTTATAATAAATTTATGGAAACACAGATCCTCCAACAAATCATGAGTTCTCGGTATAAAGCTATGGGGGTTACTGAGTGTATCACCATGAGAAAATCTGCAAGTAACATTTCCCTAGGAACATTCTTTCACTTGATGAGAGGCAAAGGCAGCTGACACAAAAATTTGTCTACCCTAGAAGAGTTATCATACCATTATTAGTCCATTAAATATTTTGAAATACATACCAGGGACCTACTATGTTGACACTTAACAGGATATCATAAAATTTGTTTATGCCATTTAAGAGATAAAACATATGAAAGTCAATAGAGGTTATGCCATCAAACAGTTTCTTTTATGATTTCTAGCCTTGTGTCAGCATAATTGACACAAAGCATCAAGCAAATACAAGAACAGCCAGGATAATATGATTTTTTATCCTCATGCATCTATTATCACATTTTCTAAACTAACTTTCAAGAGCTAATGTTAAAAATTCTGGGATAGATTGGTAAACATTGCTTAAAACGAGAATAAATGCAAGGTAGCAGCAATATTTGAAAATAAAATAACAAATAAAAACACATTATGAAAGCAAAGAGAAAGACAAGCAAACCTCTTTGACACTCAAAGCTGCTCCACCTCTTGAATCACCATCTAGCTTCGTCAAGATGGCACCTGTTATTCCAATCTCAAGATTGAAAGTAGTCACCAAGGCTGTTCACAGAAAATAGTAAAGTGAGGATTTGGAATGGTTATACTTGTAGCATAATAAGCTATGTCAGGCACAAAATTCAGCTTAAGCTAAAGAAAAACCTAACCAACAATATGACAAACACTAATGTAGAATCAGTTCATTAATATGGACAATTTCTTTTTCATGTAAGAGAGTAAAAATTCACTTCTAAATACCTGCTGCTTCTTGCCCTGTCATTGCATCGACAACTAGCAAAACTTCTGTTGGATTCAATGCCTGCTTCACTTCTTTCAACTCATCCATCATAGCTTTGTCTATCTGTTTCATAAGAAATAACAACCATGATGAATAGAATAAAAATGATTCAAAACAAAAATCATGAAATAATTTTTCATTACAACATTTACAAATCCTATGAAGAATTACCTGCAGCCTACCAGCAGTGTCAACAATAACTACATCAATTTTCTTCTTTTTTGCCTCTTCTAAACCTTGTTTAGCAATTTCTGAAGGTTTAACATCGGTACCTGCTGTATAGACAGGCACATCCACCTGATACAGGCTATAACTAATTATAAATATGTGACTAAAAGTAAAAATGACAGAAGAAAAAGCAAGAGATATGTCAAATAATGCTAATAAGAAATTGATGTCCAAAGTCTGAATTTACTTGGTTAAAAAATAAGAACTTTCATAATATTTCTCTTTTTCTTCCATATTTTAAGAGCCTACCAGATCATTATAATAACTACACTGAAAATGCCCAGGAGGGGAAAATATGGCAAGATGCTAAAGCACCACATATCAAGATAAGCATAATTCCTGTAGCCCATAAAACACATCATTTCAACTACAATATACTTTCTTCATCAGTTTCATACTAGTAACAATAAAAGGCTACAAATTTCATGCAACAATTTAAATTTAATTGAAAAATTAAAATGACATTGCTGACAATATTTAAAGGAGGTGTACGTCTCAAGAAATAACAACTGGTCAATTTCAATGAAATGAAATTGCAGTACCTGTTTGCCCAAAATAGCAAGCTGGTCAATAGCAGCAGGTCTGTAAATATCCCCAGCGACTAGCATGCAACTCTTTCCCTGAGATCAAGTTAACATGATTCGTTTCAATAAGGTGAAGGAACTACAAACTACCAGAGAGGAAATAGACTAAGCAGGAAGTAGCATGGAAAGGCACCTGTTTCTTGAGATAATTGGCCAACTTGGCGCAAACGGTTGTCTTCCCAACTCCCTGGAGTCCAGCCAATAAAATGACAGTGGGTCCAGATTTGGAAAAAACCATTTCAGAGACCTCTCCACCCATCAATTTTACAAGTTCATCATGTACAATCTGCAAAACACAATAATGTATTCCCTTGTTGATGTTTCAAGTAATCATACTATCACTGCAATATGATTATTAGATAAATATATCATCCAAACAAGTTCTCTAATCTTCACTGCATGTGAATCATACACAGAAATTATACAAGAAATACACATACATAAATTGTGGTGATTTGTCCACCTATCTACAGTGCAATAAGATTTAGTTGTTACAAACTTCAAATGCAGTCTAAGAATGTTCAATTGAACCTCTACAACCAAAACAATATATATTTGAGCCTAAAATTTTTGTGTCAGACTCAAAAAGACAAAAACTAGTGATAGATATGGTAGTACAGTAAGTTTTGTGTTGAAATGAATGGCTCTGATTTTACCTTAACCAATTGCTGATCTGGTCTCACTCCTCGAATGAGGCCAACACCCACAGCCTGATCACTGACATCTTGCACAAACCTTCTAACAACAGGAAGACTAACCTGCCAACACAATATGAATTACTTTACCTAATTAACTTAAATTACACACAAATTAAAAAATTTCAACTTACATCAGCTTCTAAAAGAGCTCTCCTAATATCTCTCATAGGCTCCACAATATTCTCTTTGGTCAAAACCTCTGCACAGCACAACCAGATGTACTGTTTAAACAATCAATCTATATTCCATACAATACAATAGATTTGATTAAGTTGTGGAATTTGAAAACCTTCTCCTTTGAGCTTGTTCCATGCAGCCTCAAGGCCACTTGTTAATTGCCCGAACATTTCAGCTCTCACAACACCGCGCATCTCCCTTTTCACACTCACACCAACGCTCTTGGAGTTCAACCAACCCCATATCTCTTTAGTGAACAAATTTCTGTAAGAGAAGGAAGCAGTGGGTGTGGTTGAAGCAATCCAAGGAGAGGAAAGCTTGATTGATTTGGCAGAACAAGACCACAAGGTTCGGTTGTGAGAGAAAGAAGGGGTAGTAGTGGAGAAGTGCCGGGACGCTAGTATGGCCTCCATTTCCACTGTGCACAACCTCGACCTTCTTTGCTATCTATCTTTCTTTTATCCACAACCACAACACAACAACATATCAACGTGCCATGCACGAGACTACATAACTATATATATTCAACCATTCAAATTTAATATCATAAATTCATTTTTCTCCCCTTATACCCAATTATTCATATAGTTATCGTTTTGAATATTGAATTAGTAAGATATTGTAAAATAACAAGTTAAAACTTACTCGATGGCCGTGGATAATAATATTAGGAAGTCAATTAATGAAGCGCTAATTTATCTTAGAATTAGGGGATATTATTGACCAAAAAAAAGAAGAAGATTTTAGACAATTAATTCATTATGAGCTTATGAAGAGAATCCAATACTTTAAATACAAAGGTTTAGGAAAACAATCACATTAAGACCTCATTTTTCCTAAGCTATTAACATTTGGTGCAGGGAATGTCTGAGTCATGTTATGATTACTATGGTCATATTTTGAGAAAATATCCCACAAAAAAATAAAAGGGAGAATAGTTTCTCCGAAGAAATTTAAGCTCTGTTTGAATACTGTTTTCAAAAATAATTTTTTAGTTTTTAGAACAAAAAAATAAAAAAACTTGTTTGGTAAGACCTGTTTTGTAAAAAAAGTTTTAAAAACTATAACTGTTTTTAGAATCAAATTTAGAGAACATGTCTGAGTTGTTTTTGTTTTCTGTTTTGATTTTTAACATTCAAAATAAAAAAAACATAGAAAACAACTATTTCCATAATTATTCTACAAAATAGTTTTAAGAACAAAAAAACCAAAACACAATCAAACAGACCCTTATTCTCCTGTTTCGATTTCCGCATTTATCTTCTTCTTCTTTTTTTACCGAAGTGGATCTCACCATTTTTCTATCTACCGGAATGTCACAAGGAGAAGTGTAAAACCCATAAATAAAACACTTTGATTTTATCATTTTCTAAGTAAAACTCTTTCCAAGCTTCAGAATATTGCTCAATAGTTTTCAACATGATACATTTATACGACACAAAAATTTCGTATTCAAGTCAACCCGTTTTCAAAATTATATTGTGTCTATGTCAGCAAAAACAGAATAAAAAAATTTATGTCATCTTGAGTGTTGACCGGCTAACACAATTAAGTGGCATTAATTTTCTTAATAATTATTTGTCTTATTATCTTGTGTCAATTGGCATAATATATAACACAGGTTATTTGTATCGTGTCAACCTGTTTGTTTATGGCAAAAAATTTAACATATTTTTAAATTTGTATTGTGTCCTAATCGTTTCAAGTGAACCCAAATTGTCACCCATGTTACTAGTATTACTTACAAAAATGTAACTGACTGTATATATTAGTTTAAGTTTTTCGGCTTCCATAGCTTTGGCTCTCACACGGTGCTTTACCCGCGTGCATTATATTATGTCTGTGGAAAAGGAACGTTTTAAGGGAGTGACAACATCGCTGGCCTGAGAGGACAAGCATGACTTCAAAGTAAAGACCACACAATCTTCCATACTCAAGATGAGTTGGAACAAAGGAGAGAACGTAGCAATTCTGAATTCGTTAGGAATGAAAAAAAGAAGGGTTAGAAGTCTGAGTGGTTGAGGAAATAGAATGAAGAAACACGGTTAAGAAACTCACCCAGAAACAACAAACAATAACAGAAAAACACGCACCAACGTAGCAAAACCAGTAATAAACATTTCCAAACGTGGAAACACACACACAGTCTTCTTTACACCCTGTTATCCCATCCATTCCACTCCATTCCATTCACAGAAGGAGCTTATGTGAGTGCTCCCACAACATCAATTATGACATCAGCCATTATGCAACTCACAAGGGATCCATAGTTACTGAAATCACAATAGCAAAAACATTATGGGAGTACCAGTTTTCTTCAATCATCAAAAAAATCAGATGCCTTTCAACGCCAAGCTTCAGCCAACTCTGTTCTTGAATTTATACGCCCAATAATTGCAGTTCCCCTATTCTTCTCTGCAGGAAGATCAATCACCACTTTGGAACACTTGTCAGTATCAGAAGCACTCAATTGAAGGCTTTTGCTCTTGCCAAATTTTGCTTGATCCCCATTCCTCTGAACAGTAGGAAGGCTACAGTGTTGAAGTCCAATTGTCAAAGAGCAAATTTGAGAGACAACACTGCAAGGACAACTGTCAACTAGCAACCTACTTCTACTAGAAATAAAATTTTCAGTACAAGTTGGCAAACTTTTGGATCCATTTTCACTTTCACAGCTGGCTTCGTTAAGATGACTAGGGCTTTGTTGAGAAGGTTCTGCAGTGACAAATACTGTATCCTCATCACCACTATCATTTCCATTTTCACTTCCATCCTTGAGAAGCACTTGTGAATCGCTCTGGTGCCCATCATCATCAAACGAATTTAGGTTTGACACAGGATTTGATTTTACCATAGACTCCTCTCTTTCTCTCAGTGTCTTCACCACAAGAGTCTTGAGAAAATTCATGACTTGTACAGCATACATCAAAGCAGTCAAAGGATCTGCCATCTGTAGTAGACATGCCAGAAATGTTGTCATTGCAGCATAGATTAACCATAATCTCAGACCAATACTATAATTTTGCATAACATACTAGAAACAAGATTAAAGGAATATATATATATCTAATCAGAAATGCTGTAATTGCACCATACATCAATCATAATCTTTGACCGATACTATAAATTTGCACAACAAACTGAAAAAGGTGTTGGAAAACCAGAATCCACAACCAAATTTAAAGCACTGAAGAAGAATATTTTATAAATATTCACCAGAATCAAAAAGAATAACCATGTAACAATTAAAAGAATAATATTTTTACCAGCCTAAACACTTCTCTAGTTTGAACATATGCCATTCCTAAGAAACATTCAATCTTCTAAATGATTTTGCATTGTTCCACAACTAGTATGTTTTCCCAGCTCTTTAAAAATCTCCATAACCATTTTTAAGTTAAATAAAAAAAATCTAATAATGTAAATTTTTTATGACTAAAATAGTTGACTACTTCAACAGAAGACAATTGAACTAACCACATGGAAGAAAGGATATAAACACATGTCAAAATGTCTGTTCCACTCGTTGAAGTTATATCCAATAAAATGAAGTTGACTTGTATAAATTCAATCACAAAAACTGGAGCTAAGAGCTCAACCGTATACTAAATAAACAAGAGAACATGATTTTTACTTACTTGAGTCATGTTTGGTGCAAAAACCATTGCAACATTACGTGCATTCATCTTGTTGAAATGTTCCATTTGAGCAACATCCGCCATGAGGTTTATTGCCCAATCTAGCAGAGCAGCTTCTGTTGGAGGAAGAAGCCTCACAAGCTGAGCACATTCTTCTTCTGACTGGGACTGCATCACCTGCTCCGGCGAAAGAGGGTCCAATATCCCAGTAGGAAGTTCTCTGAACCAAGCCTACAAAGGAGCTCAAGTATATCAAAATTAGTGAAATAATCTCTTTAATATGGTTGCCTTAATAAGTGGTCTCAACAATTTATCCACCACTCTCCCATGGTAAAAAGGAAAAGGAGAACAATGAACAATATTACATTTATTAAATTCAAGACAAAGGGGGAGAAAGAAGGGGGCGGGGGGATCGAGTAAATACCTTTATAAGACCTGCCAAGCAGTGCACCTCAATGCCATCAGGTACTACTCCTCTGTTTAATTGTTCTCTCACAAACTCCTCTTGACTATTTTCAGCATTGATTCTGAAGATTCCTTCAGCCTGCATGTATACAATTAAAATTTGAACTTCAGGTCTATTGAAATTAAACGAATCATACAAAAGGTTTCTGGTAAAATCAGAAGCAAACCTAGAAAAAAAAAAGTATAGAAATTGCTCATCAAATAAGTTCAGATTATGTTGTTCAAGACTTCAACTAATGTAATAATTCAAACCACTTTTAGATTCTCACCAACAAGGCAGGGAAGGACATAAGAGCTAGACTAAATACCTGCAGGCCTCCTTGTGCATACAAATGTCTCTGCATTAACAGCAGAATTGTAGGTACACTATTTCCTCTGGCATCAAAAGAAAGCTGCATAGATTCTGTTGAAACCCCAAAAACATTTGCGCTGTGCATAATAAATGAAAATATATCAACGCTCAACAGGATGATATAATTCAGGATGGATTCACCAGAAATTCAATATGAGTCGGGTAGAGAAGAGAGAAGATTGCCAATAAGTAGTCGAACAAATAGATAGGTTGTGAAGTAAGTGCAAATGGTGTGAATTTGTATCAAAGAGGGCTATATGCTTATACTGACAAATGCGAAAATAACACCACCGGAGTTTATTACTATGTGCCATGTCAGTTGCAAGAAACCAATAATGTGTTATGATTATAAATCCAACACCATGGATGATGTGTTCTAATATTTCAAAGAAAGAACTGAAAACAGAACCAACAAGAAAACAAAAGGTATGCATGGCATAATCAGCAAAGATGGAAGAAAGAACCTAGATTAATGATCTTTCCCTGCCTCACATTTTTCTCATATTGTTCACTTGTAAGTTGTTACAATGAACCAAACCCACTTCAGAAGACTAATTTGCAAGATAGACATTATATCAATATGGATAACAAGACAAAGCATAAGAATCTATGAAATTTAAAATTCAATCTCACACAAGTCCACTTGATAAATTTTAGACAGAAAACAAACAAGCTGAACAGTAGAACATAGAATTCCAAGAAAACGCCCTTTTCAGAATCCAAACACATAGAAAACAACAACTCAATGGAATGAATTCGAATGGAATCAAAATCACAAAGCTCGTTAAAAAAGATGAATAAGCTGAATAAAGATTAAGCCATTGATTGAAATTGAAGAAATCCAATGTAAAATTTGTTTGTATGAGAAACAGACCTTGCACTGGGAGGCCTCCTTGGGACTTCAGGTTCAAATTCAACAGGCAAGCCAAGAAAACCATGGAAGCGATCAAAGGTAACATGAGCAACATGTCTCACATTGGAAGGCCAACCAATCTCCATGGATGAAGAAGAGAGGTCACAAGTTGTGGTATTTGTACTGCAACCAATCAAAGATCTCCTAAAAGTAGCAATCAAAAGTGTCAAAATGGAAAGCTGATCTCCCTCTCTGTCCTTTTCTTTCTCTTCTTCTTCTTCTTCAATTTCCTGTGTCTCTGTGACCAAATCCAAATGGGATTGTTGCACCACCCCTTCTTCCACTGTGGTACTGTTAATAAGGGCACTTGGGTGAGACCCATCACCACATGGATGACTCGAACAGCTTGAAGATGAAGGCAACTGAAGCACTTCGGTCATATTTGATTGTTTCTCTTCGCTTCTCACCTCACAAACTTTTTAATAATAATAATAATTTCTATTTCTTTCTATTTCTTTACCAAAAGCCAAGATTTTGATGGAGTGGAGTTTCATTCAAGAAAAGGGTCTTGGAAGGTGAAACGCTATCATCATCACTGTGACTTCACCTCCCCGCCTTACCCGACCCGAGTCCAGATTCTCGCGTGGAAGAGACTTTTGCAGTATTCAAAGAAGAATCGTGAGACAGATAGAGCGATAGAGAGAGAAAGAGTGGGTTGGTTAGGGTGAACTGAAGATGAAGAGACATAATTTTTTAAAAAGAAAAAAAGGTGCCTATGTATTATTATTAGGGGTTTATTAATCTTTAATCCCATAATATAATTATCTATGACAAAATGAATGGATCCCAATCTCGTAAGAAAAAAGATAAAAAAGATAAGATTTAAAAATTGAACTGATAGAACATGAGAGAAGTTATCTTATGTAAAAGAAGAGTAATATTTCTCTTATATTATTATTAATATGGAGGAGATTATATTTATAAATTTTCATTTACAAATTCTTATAAATTATATTATATCTGGTCATACTTTAATTAAAAATGTATGATAAGTAATATTTAATGTAATTTATAAAAATAATTGTAAATGAATTGTTGTTGTTATTATTATTATGTGTATTCAGTATTTTCGAGGTGGCACCATAAAAGAACTTCAAAAAACCTGAGTACCGAAATCATCGGTATTCTTTTTTATTAAATAGAGAAAAAAATTATGACTTAAATGGAAATTATAAAAAAAATGTGGGTTAAAAAAAATTATTTCCCTTTTTAATAAAAATTCGATACTCCCAATTCATTGAAGTTTTTCTCGCAAGTGATGTTTTCCACCTCACAGGACGTCAATTTGTACAATAGTCCTTTCTAATTTTGTTGGCAAGTTTTTTCCTTTCCAAATTTACTTCCACTGATGGCAGAAACGACCCCACAGGTTCGCAAAGGTTTCTACGAGTTTATGCCAATTCTTTTTCCTTTTTTTTTTTAATCTACGAGTTTCATGCCAATTCCATGTGCACCATTTGGTTTGATTTTTATTTTTTTTAAATACATTTTGGTTGAATTCAATTCAAACCTAAGTTACTTGTTGCGAGATTAATGTCAACTTTGCAACAGCAGGAAAATCCATGTGTTTGTTTTGACTTAGTGTTACCAGTTATTAGTAGGTTTTAATTTGTGTCCGTTTCAAAGGGAATGACAAGTAATTGACAAGAGACCAATCTAAGTCCAAAATCCAAGGTGATTAATCCATGGTCATGACATGTGGTGACAATGAGATCTGAGGTGTAGACTAACCATTCGCTGTTCGCGCGCTACCCTATCCATCCCTTACCTTTTCAGGGAATTGTCACTTTTTTATTCTTCCCTCTCTCTTTTTCCTCTTTTTTTATGACCGATTTTTATTGTGCATGATTTTTTTTTTAATTAATTCAACCCTAATTACTTGAGTTGACTCTTAATTGTATTCTTTGATTTTTTAAATTGGTTATGAAACTAATTCAAAGTATGAGGTTGGTTATGAATGTAGATATTTAAACCTCCTATAAAAGTGATATGTGAAAATTGAACCGAAACTTTTTTTCTTTTTACTTACTCAATTCTTGCTTTATCAATTGAATTACCATCATTTGATTATTTTATTTTAATATCATTTTAGTGTACTTGCTAAAGAAGCCCTATGCATAGGCTTTGTCATACAAAACTACTAAAACAAATAATGTAGTTCGAGTGTGCGCACCTAAGTGGTCCACATGATTCCCCGCCATGTAACATTAGAGGTTAATCAGCTCAAAACTCCATAATGTTGTCTCAAGGAGTACCTAACTTCGTTATCATTGTTTGAGTGTTAGGGCCACTGTTAGCGGAAGAAAAATGAAAAGGGAAAAGTAAATGAACCCTTTAGTATATTCTTTTATCATTTATATTTTTTTATTTTTTTATCAATTATTTTATGATTTTTTTATTGAAATCCGCATTTAATATTGTTAGTAATTAAAATATTTTATCCTTATTTTATATTTGGAGTTTTGTTTATCAAAAATAAATTATGGCTCTAAAAATAAATAATGGGGCAAAGTCTATTTGATTATAACTAGAAAAAATAATACGTAACAGATGAGAGAATAATAATTGTTGGAATGGGGGTCTGCAAAAGTTTTATACCTGTGTAAGTTACTTTTTTAATCAGTGTATATATATAGAGAGAGAAAGAAAAATTTCTCAAGCAACCGGAGATACATTTATTTTTATCCACGCAAAAACTACGTCATTTTGTTTATTTATTTTCTTATATTAATTGATTTACCTTTCATGATTTCCTTTTTCTTTCTCTTCTTTTATCACCATTGATCTATCTTTGTACGGTTATGATTTAGAAGTCAGAAATAAAGTTATCTCAAACAACTTGAGAAACGATAAGTTCATATATATATATATATAAAGGGATTTACATTTCTACAGCTGATGTATGTGCAGCAATCAAATACTTGTCATATATATACTTGAAAGCATTAAATGCGGGGAATCATAACCATACAAAGGATGAAAGCATTAAATGTGGAGAATCATAACCATACACATGTCGTTGTTGTACGTAAAGCGGCTGCATAAATGATTTTACCATATATATATATATATATATATATATATATATATATATATGAGGTAGGATCATTTGACACCTCATCTGAGAGTCGTTAGATCAAAAAAGATCAACGACTCTGGTTTGTAAGCATGTGACACCATTGATCTTTTTTTATCTAACAGCTATAAGATGAGGTGTTAAAGGATCATGTCTATGTGTGTGTGGGTGGGTGGGTGGGTAAAGGATTTATCCAGTCAATGGAGCTAAATTATCTCTGGTGAGCAAAAAATGACGTCGTTTTGTGACAGAAATCAAGGTATTTTATAATTCTAATTTATTGCAGGATTATATTAGTCTTTAATCATTATAATTTTGTAATCTTACAACCCAAAATGATGTCGTTTTGGTCTCAATGGAGATAACTTTATCTTCAGTCACTCGAGAAATATTTTTCCCTATATATATGGGGTAGGTTCATTTGACACCTCATTTGAGAGCCGTTAGATAAAAAAAGATCAATGGTGTCGCATGCTTACAAATTAGAGTCGCTGATCTTTTTTGATCTAACAGCTCTCAAATGAGGTGTCAAACTTTAAATTTGAGCTAGTCAAAGTTTAAATTTAACATTGATGTTAAAGGATCTTATCTCTCTCTATATGTTTGTGTGTGTGTGTGTGAGTATATATATATATATATATATATATATATATATATGGGGTAAACATTTCTACAGCCGCTTTAGATAAAGTTATCTACATCTATACCAAAAACTACGTCGTTTTGATTAATGGAGGGTGTTTATGTAATTTTTGGTGAATTAATAAAGGATATTTTCATAATTTTGTTTATTTTTTATCATATGTATTTTTCCGAAACACCCTTCATTAATCAAAACGTCGTAGTTTTTGGGTAGCTGTAGATAACCTTATCCAAAGTGGCTGTAGAAATATTTTTTCCTATATATATATATATATTATTACTTAAAAATGTAATATAAAGTTATAAGAAAATAATATAAGTGACATGTAAAAAATAATGTTACAATAACATAAAAAGAATAAAACGGTAATTGCTTGCCAAATAATAAGGGATTAGTTCAAGAATAATAAAAGAAAAATCCATTTGTTTAAAATTGATTACATTTCAAATTTTGAATGTTAACATTTTTTGTGATCTTTTTAGTGATGTTCTATCTATTATGTAAAACCTTTGAAGGGAAAGGACACATGATTGTTCATCATGTCTTTATGATCAACCTAAACTTCCTTTATTTACTGCTAGTGCCCAAACAATTTATATGGGATTAATTAACAAGTAAAATAGGGACAAAATAAGCAAAATTAGTTTAATTACTAACAATATTAAAGACATGATGAAAGCAAATCGATGATCAAGATTTTAGGGATGTTCTATGTAACGGTTCTGATTTATTAGATATTTGAGCCGTTAGATGCAAGCAAGTCGATGATCAATATCTTGTGTAAGACTTCTTAATCTTACGTCGGAGTAATAATATCATGCCATATATATATATATATATATATATATATATATAATCATTTGACATCAGTGTCAAACTTTAAAATTCGACATTAAATTCTAACCGCTAATTTTTGTCAATCTCACAGTTATAATTTATTGGGTCAAACTTATTAATTAATTAATAATTCAAATAAATTATAATCGTCGATTGGCGGAAACCAAGTGTTAAAATATGGTGTCAAACATCTAAGTTGACATTAGTGTCAAATGATCATATCCTATATTTACAGAGAGAGAAATATTTTCCAAGTCACTTGAGATATATTTATCTCTAGATACTCCAAAACTACGTCGTTTTGTTTATTTATTTTCTTATATTAATTGATTCATATTTGAATGGTTATGATTCTATTTTTCTCTCTCTTCCTTTATCATCATTCATTGATCCATCTTTGTACGGTTATGGTTTAGTGGCTAGAGATAAAGTTATCTCAAATGACTTAAAGAAACAATAAGCTCATTTATATATATTATTCTTTCTCTTTACTTTAGTATATGAATTCTCCACATCCACTCACTTAGTATGTTAAAAAATTAAAATTATTGTTATCAAAAAAAAAATTAAAATTATTAATTAATATATTATTACTATTGATTATTATTAGAATAATAATTCTTAAGCAATCGTAGTTATAAATTTTTACTAATTTTCCGATCCGTTGTATAACATAAGTTGTGTAACTGTAAATCTATTAATTGATTATATTTTATTTAAAAAAATTAAATCAAATAATTAATAATAATTGATAAATAAATTTTTCGATGACAAATATCCTATAGCAGTTTTTGTTGTTTCGAATTTTGACAATATTATAATTATTATAATATTTAAAAATTTATTTTATATTTTCAAGAATATTTCATCAGTTATAATAACTTAATGAATTTATGAATTAATTATAATTAATTAATATATTAATAATTTTACATAACTCAGGTTGTGCAAGAGATTTGAAAATTAGTAAGAATTCATAATTAGTATTGATTGAGAATTATTATTATTATAGTATTTAATAATATAAATAAAATATTACCTAATTATTTAAATTACTTTGAGTATGAAGAAATAAGTATTTTATAATAGAGAGCATTGGGAATTTTCTT